CCCCACCCCCAAATCACCATAGTTATAAATACTGTTCCTACTACTTTTTTTCCAAATGAAATAAATGTACATTTATTACAATGAGGAGAGAGCTGTCCATGACATTATTGTAACATAGCCTGTACATAGTCAAGTAAAGTAGAGTCAGAGTAGTGTAACTTTGGAGTGAAATCTACCTCTTTACATGGCTTTGGACATTTGAAAAGAGGATGTATGACTGCTGGCTTTTAGTGCATAAGAACAGACAATGAATGTTTTTTTGGGGTGGAAGACGGATGCTTTTTCATGAATCAATTATACTTGTTTGCACGTGTGGGTAAGTTTGAAGCAAAATTTCTCTCGGCTTAAAGATTTGTGGGACTCAATCTATTCAGGGATATATTCACAGGTCTGCAAGATTTCAGGAGGGGGGAAATATTAAAAATAACCGGAAGTTTTTTATGTTTCCTGGTTAAAAGAAATAGGGTCGAAAATGATTTGGGATGTAATTTTTTAATCAAGAGATAACCAGCTCCACATCATAGTTTATATAGACTGATAGTAGGCTATCGCTAAGCTTTTTTCACAGTTCAAAGGCTGAAATATCTTTGATGACTGATGAGAGTTGAGTCCATCAGCGGAATGAACAGTAAACTAGAAAATTAGAAATTGCAATAAAATAGACAATAGCTCATCTAATCAGCAACAAAAAAATGTGTGCTGGGATGTTTGTCGATAAATTAATAGGTCAAGATCTTGTGGACTGTCATAGTGGCATGGTAATCTCATTGTTAGGCCACCCTGACGTGTAATCGTGAAATTACGGGTTTGGGGGTTCGAGCCTCAGCTCAGTCTGACGTTGTGTCCCTGGGAAAGGCACTTTACACGAATTTCCCACTTGGCTCGGTCCTTTTGTAGATAAATGTTAAACTCTGAGGTCTCGCCTCTTAAGTCCTAATAGTGTTGATTGGGGCGTTAAACCTATACCAGTTCACCATTGTAGATTATCAATATACTGATAGTAACTCCCGCTTTCTCAGATTAAGAATGTTATGGGATTTTGTTTCTATTAAAAGTGGTTCTATAATGTGGGCTTGTAAATTGGATTTGACTTTTTTCTCAGTCTCCCCTCTTTAAAACTTTTAGAAATAATAAAGTTACTAAGCGACAGTTTTTAGTTGGCATGTGGTAAAATTTTGGGTCAATTACAATTGATTTCATTACAAGTGCAGTACACTTTTTAATTACATTGCTTTTTCTTAATTCAAATTATTCTATTGCAATCTGTGCATTATTATTTTTTAAAGCATTTATGCATTAGTATGAGTGTGAATTTGGTCAACTTTTTTCTTTTATGGGAATTGATCCTAGAAATATATCTTGTGTGTGTGTGTGAGTGTGTGTGTGTGTGTGTGTGTGTGTGTGTGTGTGTGTGTGTGTGTGTGTGTGTGTGTGTGTGTGAGTGTGTATATACGTGCATTATGCATGAACGTGTGTGCGTGAGCTTTTGTGCGTTTTCAGATAAGTGCGCATTTTGTTTGGGTGAATACTTCATGTTTGTTCTTTCTTAATAATGATTTATGTACGAGTGTTGTGTGTTGTATATGAGGTATGGTGTATGAGCAGGCACATGTATGACTATGACTTCACGGGACACCTGTGAACTTAAATTATTAGAACCGCAACATCCAGCTTTTATTAAATAATGTCAGTTTTCTCCTTAAAGCGTCCTGGTTCACATTGGGTTCTATGATGCTCTGATATTAGCAGATCTTTGCCTATAGCGGTTTCCACTTTTATTGCTGACTAATGTTGTTGATATAATTATTATTATTATGAGTAAATTTTTCTGCATGCTTGGTGCAATATCAGCCATGATCTGACCTGTACATATATATACATATATATTTATTGATGCCATCCTCATTGTACGTTTCCCTTCTGTAATTTTCTATCATTCTGTGTGAATTGTCTATGGTCAAAGTATGTCTGTTCTTCTTGAAATATGTTCATCTATTATCATAGTATGGTCTATGTGCATTAAATGAGCTCTGCATTCTAAATAGTTAAGAGGAGTTTTAGTTTTAGTCAGAGTAAGCAGACAAATGCAGTTTTTGGGACAGCTGAATAGACATAAAGGTCTTGAACATCTAGCTCTCACTGGCAAAATTGAAGACAAATGAGGCAGGGGTAGACCCAGAGCAACCTACTTGGGGAACCTAAACAAATGGGTAATGGGGAAAGATCAGGGAAACATAGCTTTATTAAGGGCATCCGAGCAGAGGAATGAATGGAGAACCATGATCGCTCGCTGATGTCCATTTGGCACTGGATGGATGAAGCAGACAGAGGCACTTCAACATGATGTCAGCTTGTATTTAGGTTAGTGCAGGTAAAAAGCAAGATAGATAGAAACAACAAAGAGAAAGAAGAGAAGTAGGAACAACCAGAGTGATCCTTCAACCAGCTGTCAGTTAAAAGAAATAAAACTGTAATTGTTAGTGTAATTAACACACACCAGGTTAAAAGTAGTGTACATGGTTCAATAACCCTAAAACTAAAATTAAATATTGAGATAATAGTGGTCACAGTTCACTAGAATTGCATTTTGCAAATGTGATTTCTAAAAGTAAAAGTAGTTTTTAGGTTTACTCAGCATTTTACAGCATTTGTTACACAATTTGGGTCTTATAAGTCATAAGTACCAAAGATTAGATGAATTATAATGGTAACAACATATTATTACTCAGTAAAATAACTTCCTCACTCCCCCACAGCTACCTCAGTAATTGAACTCTTGTTTTCTGGTGGCAACAGCATAGAGCCTAAACATCACGCCACACAAGTCAGTTGGTTGGGGAAAGGGGGGGGGGGCTTCTCTAATGAATTCTCATCAATAGAAGCAATCAGAGTTTATTTAATGCCATTGGCTATGCAATTCATGACATGGGCCTGTACAGTCTCATGATGT